GCGCTATTTACCACAGCCCGCGCACGTGCAGCGCTATTTACCACAGCCCGCGCACGTGCAGCGCTATTTACCACAGCCCGCGCACGTGCAGCGCTATTTACCACAGCCCGCGCACGTGCAGCGCTATTTACCACAGCCAGCGCACTGCGTCGTCGCTCTTTAATTTAAATTTAAATTTAAGTTATTAACAATTTAAAGTTCTCGTCTATCGCGATAAATGCACGCACTCTAGGTTGTTATCATACGGAGATAACATATCAGTTGACACGTGATAACGTGCCTGCATCGATAAGGCGATCATATGGCGATAACGATGAGCTATCGTGGTGATAATAGGGCAGGAAGCTATGCACTGATTGAGCATAGCGAGCGTAAAAATATTTATGTAGGAATAGCATTAAGGGTTGGGAAACACTTGTTGTTGATATGGGCAGTAAGTGTTCACTCACAATTCAGGTAGGAATAGCATTAGGGGTAGGGAAACACTTGTTGTTGATATGGGCAGTGAGTGTTCACTCACAATTCAGGTAGGAATAGCATTAGGGGTAGGGAAACACTTGTTGACATGGGCAGTAAGTGTTCACTCACAATTCAGGTAGGAATAGCATTAGGGGTAGGGAAACACTTGTTGTTGATATGGGCAGTGAGTGTTCACTCACAATTCCTGTCTCTTATACACATCTAGATGTGTATAAGAGACAGTCCTACCCCAGCCCACTAGTAGTGTAGTGGTCGTTGTGTTTTTTTTACCTGGGACTATTTTTTCCCAGCGTTTTCCTGTTCTGTGTCGGAGCAGAACATTGACCCTGCGCGTCGCAGACTGCGCGCCTGCGCCCCGGCCAATAATTTATGCTTGAATTTTGCCTACAAAATATTACTGAATATTGAAATTTTGCCGCTTGCATTTTACTTCAAAACTTAGCATGGAATATCGACTATAAAATACTATCCCTCGAACTCAACCTTGAAATTTTGCCTCTAAAATGTTACCCTGCAACTCAATAATTTTATACTAAATACTAAATTTTACCCATAAATTTTACCTAGATAAGGTAAATCCATGAACGGAGCTTTTGAATTTAATTCACAAATTTTCTCATTGAAATTAACATAAAATTTAGCCTGTAAAATGAGGAAAAATAAGCATTACATTTTCTCCATGAAAGTTTTACCACAGCATGGAATTTAACTATCAAAATATTACTTATGAAAAAGGGCTTTTAATTTTGCCTCGAAATTTATACTTAACAAACTTACCATTAAATTTTACCCTGAAATTTTTGCTTCAGTAACGGAGCTTCAAATATTGCTAGGAAAATCACGAACTGCGCATGAAATTTTTTACCCCGAAGAATTTACCCCATGAATCGAGCTTTAGTTTTATCATTAAAATGTAACTCAATGAACACTGCATCAAATTTTTTGGTGCAAATTCAACGTGAAAAATTAATTTTTGCTTGTAGAAATGGACAGATGCTAGCGTTACTTGCTTCCGGTTGGAGGTAGAGACCAATATTTCAAACTTTAATTATGAATATTATATGAATATATTTCATATAACACAAAACATAAAATAATAACAATAAGTAATAATGCTTATTCGGCCATCTAGTGAGTATTTAGGGATAACAATTTTAATAAAGTGACTTAATTAGACCTCATGCATCTCATTTATAGGTACACCATTGTTGAACCTCCGTGGAACCTCTGTTAAACCCCCGTTGAACCCCCGTTAAAATTCCGTTGACCCCACGTTGAAGCTCCGTTGAACCCCCGTTGAAGCGCCGTTGAACCCCTGTTGAACCTCCGTTAAACCCTGTTGAACCCCCGTTACGCCCTTGTCCCCCCTCCCCCGGGGTTACGAGGGGCTCACCAGAGGTTACGCTCACCACAACCTGTTACTCTACTACAACCCCCAACCCCCAACCCCTACATATCTTGACCCAAACCCCCTCTCCCCCAATCCCCCCTTTGGGGCTGCTTTTGGGCATGCAGGTCATCCACCTGTGGCCCTCGCCCCCCCAACCCCCAAACCAATGCAGCTGCGTGCACCTGTTGCAGCTGCGTGCACCTGTTGCAGCTGCGTGCACCACTGCAGCTGCGTGCACCTGTTGCAGCTGCGTGCACCACTGCAGCTGCGTGCAGGCAATATTTCAACAGATGAAGACCGAGGTAATTATTCAAACTCTTCTAACAGCGCGACAAACAGGGGGACAAACAGAGAGCGTAAGCAACAGCAGAGAGACAAACAATTACAGAAGACAAATAAAGAACAAAGATGGCCTTAAAATTGGCTGTTTACACGTAATTTGTTAAACAAATTTGCACGTTTATACGTCAGTTGAACCTTCTCAAAAAGCGTAGTGAACAGCACTGTAAACAGTGTCAAAACAGCACTGCAAACAATAACAAAACAGCACTGTAAACAATAACAAAACAGCACTGTAAACAACAACAAAACAGCACCGCAAGCAATAACAAATCAGCACTGTAAACAATAACAAAACAGCACTGTAAACATTAACAAAACAGCACTGTAAACAATAACAAAACAGCACTGTAAACAGTGTCAAAACAGCACCGTAAACAAGCTCAAAACAGCACCGTAAACAATAACAAAACAGCACTGTAAACAATAACAAAACAGCACTGTAAACAATAACAAAACAGCACTGTAAACAGTGTCAAAACAGCACCGTAAGCAATAACAA